CCCCAAAACCCCAAAACCCCAAAACCCCTAAGGGTAAATCAATTGAGATTAAGTATTTCTTGAAAAGTTATATCTTCATTTCTTTGTATTAACAATATCATTAAAGCACCCTCTTAACTAAATGAACATTTTTTCTAACTTCATTTGTAACTCCTCCTTTTGATCTTCATCAAATGAGTCATTTTATGAATGAGCTTGTGTTTCAAGTTCCTCATAAAATTTAATTAAGTTGTCAACAGTAGTTTTTCTCTTCTTTTTCCTCTCTTCATTTTAGTCTTTTCTACTTTTAAAGTTTATAGGACTACTTGTATTATTTTAAATTAGTTTTTTGCTCTCAATATTGATTATTTAGTTCTTCCCTGCTGAGCTTTAAATCATTAGCCCTCTTTTCATTTCAAATGCTTTGCTCTTTTTGCTGGGTGAGTAGTTATTTTGAACTCTTGGTGTTTGCCTTTGAATCAATAAGTTATGACTGTGTATAGGAGTTCCAGTATTTTTGCAATACTACTTTTTCAAGCTCTATAGTCTTCTTTACTACACTTATGAACTTGTTGAGTCAATGCTTTTATTATTGTTAGATTCAAAAGTCTCGTTTAGAATTTCTTCCTTGCATTTATTTAATTTCTAGTCATGAATATTTGAAGACTTGTTGCTGTTTTTAAAATAGACTGGTACTGCTTCAGATTTCTCACTGAAAGTATCGTCAAGCAATTGATTGTTATTTTCAATCACAATATTGTATGATTCTTAAACACTGCAGTCGAAGTTAATGTTTTAAATATCAAGGATTCCCATCTCGCTTGAATCTATCCTAAAGTAATCAAGGTTACAGAATTAATGAGTTGAATCTTATAAATCTTATTGATTGTGTGTAGATAGAGTATTATAGTTGGTATCGGTGAAGTTTTCAAAGGCGGATATAGGCTAAATATTAAACTTTTTATTATCAGTAGTATTTTGATATTCTCCTTCTTCGTAAAAAGGTTCCTTTTATTACTTTATAAATTAAGCTGTTTCTTAAGTCTTTTATCTATTGAAAGTTTCATAGTTATCAAGGATGGGTTTAAGATTATCATCTAGATGGCTCCTTCTTTTTTCTGCAGGAGGTAATAAATTATCGAATTCGCTTAGATATTTATAGATCTATTTATTATCAAATCTGTTACTCTCGATTGATTATAGTACTTCATCAGAAACATTAATTTATCTTGTAATAAAGTCAACCTCTTATTTGGGAATAACTGACTAGGGAGTTAATTAATGATATATATTATTGATTAGTTTGACTTTCAACTCTAGCAGTGTTTTTGAGTTGCAGAGCTATTCACCATACATTAACTGAGTTTATAAATATTTTATCTAGAGTATTTGAGATCTAATATCTGGTCTTCTAAATATTTTTCTGGTTTTCCATCCTAAATAGATGCCATCATTGTACTTTTGTTTGAAAGTTCTTTTAAGAATTCTGAAAGGAATTTTCTTTCTATCCATTATCATCCTAAACCATCTTTATATTGCAATAGATGCTAGTTGCTTGTTAAAATTGTTGCTCTCTTCTTCACATAAATCTACATATCTTTCTCTTATCCTTCTAATTCTAAAATCATGAATTATCCTTTTGACCACTCGTCTAAACTTTTACTTCTTGTCTACAATTTTTGCTTTTAAGCTTCTTACGTCTTAGTTCAGCTCATCAAGAGCTCTGATTAGACCCTCTTTTATTTCTTAAGAAAGTCTGCTCTCGCAGCTCATTTATGATGCAACTCTTATTGATTAAGCCATATTTTTCTTCAATGGGCGAACCTTAAACCCACTTTTATAATTTTAAGGTCTTGCATTATCGAGACTCTAGAATATTTAGGCATCTCTCTAAATACTTGAAGATGTTCTTGAAAGTGAGCTTGATGTATTCCTAGATTTCTCACGTCTGAATTAGATATTGATGCTATTTCTCACCTATCCTCTAAGTGTGTCAGATGAATTATACATTTCATCATCAGAACTATCATCATCAGCCATGTTAATAACAACAACCTTTTTTTACATTTTTTATGCCAAAATACTTTCACTCCCTATTCTGGAATGATTATTTGTTTTACAGATTGATTTTCTTTGTTATGTAATTGAGTTTGTGATATTTGTCAACTATGATTATATACTTGTCTGATTGTGACCTAACTAAACTTTATTAAACGATATTTAGGAAGCATTAGCCCTTTTATCTCTGCTTTATGCTCGAGAAGATTCTTTATGCTTGTTTGAATTAGTTGTTGAGACAATACTTTTGCATGTATTCTATTAACTAGCTTTTACAGAGTTCTCAACTGTGAGATGTTTATTTATAGGTGATTTGGTGCCTTTACTACTATTTGCAAATATCGAAGTTATTCTTCTACCCTTCATTTGTAAAATAGGAGTTAAAATTTAAGTTATCTTTATTTTATTAAGCAAATTAAAATACCAATTTAACTTAACTTCATTAAACATCGACAAATAATACTGCATATTTAATAATTTAGATTATTAGTCTAATCACATAATAATAAACAAATGGACAGGAAAAAGGACTTTAACAAGAACAAAAACTAAAACTAATAGCAGATTATGCAGCAACCTATTGGAGCAATGAACTATAACTTCTCTTTTGACAAATCTTTTGGTCAGCACATTCTTAAGAACCCCTTGGTTGTACAATAAATCATAGAAAAATCTGGTATTAAGCCCACAGATGTAGTACTTGAAATCGGTCCTGGTACAGGTAACTTGACTCAATCTCTATTAGAAAGAAGCAAGAAAGTAATAGCAGTAGAAATTGATGCTAGAATGATTGCTGAAGTATCCAAGAGAGTTAACAAGCTAGGTTACTAGCATAAGTTCTAACTAATTTAAGGAGATGCAATTAAGACTTAATTGCCATTCTTTGACCTATGTGTTGCCAACACTCCTTATTAAATATCGTCTCCACTTGTATTCAAATTATTGCAGCATAGACCAATCTTCAGATGTGCAGTACTCATGTTCTAAAGAGAATTCGCTATGAGATTAGTTGCTAAACCTGGAAGTGATATGTATTGTAGATTAAGTGTCAATGTCCAGTTGCTTGCAAGAGTAGATCATTTACTAAAAGTCTCAAAGAACAGTTTTAAGCCACCTCCTAAGGTAGAATCATCAGTAGTTAGGATTGAACCAAAGTTTCCACCTCCTCCAATTAACTTCACTGAGTGGGATGGTTTAGTAAGATTATGTTTCTTGAGAAAGAATAAGACAATGTCTGCAATTTTCAGACTAAAGCAAGTACTTAAAATGCTACATAAAAATTTTGTTACATTCCAGACTGAGTTGAAAGTAGGAGGTCAGCAAGCCTTAGCCTAATAAGACTAATAGGTAGATTTAACTGCATTTATGTTGGATGAAAATTAACTTGAACAAAAGCTTAGCAAAAAAGATAAAAGGCTAGAGAAGATAGCAGCAAAGGGAGCACTTAAAGAAGGAGAAGATGGAGACGATGATGAAGAAGAGAAAATGGAAGATGAGCCTGAAGATGAAGCAGAAAATGATCCTATTTAGAGCATTAAAGCATTTAAGAAATTAGTAGTAAAGACTCTCGAGGATAATTAGATGCACGAGAAGAGAGCTTGCAAAATGGAGATCATTGATTTCCTTAACTTGCTCAAGATTTTCAATGAATAAGGTGTACATTTCAAGTGAAAATACAATAGAATAAAGAATCGATTCAGTTGGATGAAATATTTATTGCTAATTAATTAATAATGTTATAGTTTAGTTAATAATTTATCAATATTTTCATAGTTTTAATTCAAAATTTCATGGAAGAATAATTAACTAATCTTTAAACATAGTAGCTCAGAAAAGAAATTGAAATTACTTAAAACAATACCTTCTAAAATGTAATTATAATTCCAACTTACAAAATTGAAAGCAAGAATAACTAGAAATGCTAGAGTTATTGATTGAAGGCCATTAAATTGCAGAAAGTCTCCAATTCAATAGGGACTAAAATGACGTTGATGTGATTTTTGATTAGCTTGTGAATAATCCTAATATTTCAGAATAAATCAAGAAACAATTGTTTTTTATGCAAAGCGACTAGTAAGAATCCCTATTTCAAGTTGATAATTGAAAATTAGAGAAATGTTTCTTGAGAACTTCCAGCAAATGGAAAGAGCTAATTAAGCAAATATTGTAATTTAGCATCTTTTTAATAGACTGATTTCATTTAGATTTATACAAGGGACATAGAGTAAGAAATGAATAAATATAAAAAGCTGTTTGAAGAGAGGGAAACGGAACTAAGGATACTTAAGAGGGAAAGAGACGAATACTTGACTTAGAAAGTTGAACTTGTCCTAGAAAATAAATAGCTTAAGGTAAATAATGTTTATTAAATAATGAGGCAGAGAGATATGGAGAATATTTAAAGAAATTTTTAGCAGGGAGAAAGTCAGAATCATCAACTGAATAATAATTCTCATGAGCATAACTAAATTCCAGATAGTCAATCTAAATTCAACAAATTTATTCCAAATATTTTCAGTGCCAAGAAACCAACTGTATCAGAATAGAGAGCAATTAACTAGAATCATATTCTGAAATAAACTTAGGCTTAGCCAAGAGTGATTGATGAGCAATTTGAAAACGAATAAAAGGAAGTAATAAAAATAATGCAAGATTAAATTCAAGTTAAAATATTTGAAATAAAAGACCTCTAAAAGGTAAATGACTCTATCAATATTGAAATGGGTAGGATTAAGGGACTACTTGCAAAGGAAAAGGAAAAGAGCGAGGATCTCTAGACTGACTTGGAAATTTTAGAACTTAAAATGAAGGTATTAACTTTATTTGTAATAAATCTTTTAGAAATTAGATGAAATGCTACTTCAGAGAGAATCAGAAGTTTCTAATCTTAAATTAGAACTGCAAAAGGTAAGGATGACATCTGAATCAGAAATTAAAAAGTTAAAAAAGGCATAAATGACCTCTATTAATTCAACTAATAATAACTTGACTACACTGGGCAGCGGTGATATATCAGCAAGAGCCAATAACCAAGAGAGAGCAGGTACCTAAAGAACATTGAATCAATCAAACTTATCTATGTCTAATGATCCATACAACAGTTCTAGAACCCCTAATCTTGACTAAAGTGTATTAGTTGACTATAATAATACTTTGAACTCTCAAAGAGAATAAAATATCTCCAAACCCCCTATGATATAAAATTAGAAATCTGGATTTAGTTCTCACAGCAAAAAAGACCAGAACAATAGCTCCATTTTAAATGGCAGCAACGAAAATCCATTTGATTAATCAACTAATTCCGTTCATACGAAGGAAAAGACATCATTTTTTGCTGGAGCACTCTAAAAGACTAAGTTATTTGGTCAGAAAGCAGCTAACTTGACTGGCAGAAAATCAACTATAAATTTAAATAGTAGCTGAATTAATTATCAAACTATATTCATTTATTCGGTTTAATAGGATCTTGGGGTTTTGGGGTTTTGGGGTTTTGGGG